TGTCTTGACTGGGTGTCCTCCTTTAACTACCATCCTCTCTCATAATTCCCTCTCCTTCGTTAAAATGTTGCCTAGATTTGGCTTCACATTTCACCTTCCACTCAGCTTCCCACCCACAGCAGTCTGGCTTTGCCGCCACCACACCTCCTACAATGGCTACTCTTGAGACAAGGTCACCGACAATTTCCTTGGTAAAATCCAAAGACCTTCTCCATCCCTTATCTCATTTACTTGCTTGGCTAACCCAGATACTGCTGTTTGCAGCCTCCTTCTCATAATCTCTTTCTTCTTGGTTTCCCTGATGCCAAACTCCTCCTCCTTTTCCAGCTCTTTCCTGCCAGTTGCTTTCCTAGGCTCCTCCCCCTCTGCCTGTCTCTTGCATGTTAGGATTCCTCAGGGATTCGATCCTGCTTGGTCCAGTTATCTTCTCACTCTATGGGCTCTCTCCCTGGACAATTCCATTCATGCTACCTTTGATTCAACAAACATCTCTAGGCTGGTGAGTCCCAAACTTAACTGTAGCTCAGCTCACTCTCCTGGGCTATAGACATAGTCACTTGCTTACTGGACATCTCCTTGAGCCCACTCCTCTTCCTGTACCTCCGTCTCAGTGAAGCAACCTGGTTTTCCTCCCTGAGTTCTCCAAATTTGTCCAGTCATCAGGTCCTGTATATGATACTTCTTGAGTAACTTTCAAATCCAATCCATCCTCTGCCGCCACATCTTTGATGCGGGTTGCAGTTATCTTTCACCTGGACTTCCACAACAGCTTCCTAAGGATCTGGATCTTACTGCCACTCATTCGTCATCACCCTGCTCCCCCGCCCAACTAAAATTTCTGAAGTGAAACTGGATGTTGTCATTCCCTTACTTCACAACCATGTAATGGTTTCCCACTGTTCTCTGGTTGAAGTTCAAATTCCTTAGCAAATCCATGAGGTCCGATCCTGTCTCATCTTTGCCCTTATAGTCTATGAACTAGCCAGGACGAAGCTCCTGCAGCTCCCCGAAAGCACGATGCCCTTTCTCACCCTTGGACCTTTGCATATTTTTTTCCTTCCACCTAGGAAGTCCTTCCTTCTCACCTCACTTACTTGTTCTTCGGGTCTCGGCCTAAACATCATCCAGCTAAGGAAGCCTCTTTTGGCTCAGCGGAATTAACGGTCTCTGACTTTGTAGGATCTCATGCTTTCTCCTATCGGACAGTTTTTACACTTAAAATTACCCTTTGTCTCCCTTAATATATTTATAAACTCAAGGTTGGTGACTGTGTCTTGTTTATAGTGTATCCTCAGTATCTAGCAGATGCTAGATGCATAGTAAGTGCTCAATAGTTGTCGGTTGAATGAATAAAAGACATTTGGAAAGGATCATCCCGTTTTGTTGCCGGTAGTAAACTATATGTTGTTTCATTACCTGCCCTAAAGAGCTTATATTATAAAAATGAAATAAGCTGCCAGGAAAACTTGACCGACTGGAGTAATGAATGGATCTTGAGAGGTGGAGAAGAGCTTGTGGAAGCAGACACGTGGTGTTACCACCGGGCATGTGCGCAGGACCAGGAGGAGGGCAGGAACCCACCAACTCAACTGGCCTTGGATCCTCATGAGGATGGGATCGTGTGAGACATGGCTGTTTTGGCACAGTTTTCATTTATTCCACAGCTTCCACCTGTCAGTGTAGCACTATAGAGAGGTCTGGGTTATAGTTTTGGCCCTGCCCACTACTTATCTCAAAGACCTTAGGCATTACTCCACTATGGATGTTGCTCTGCAGATAACACAGCGTCTAAAACAGGGAAAACATACATCAAATTCATTCACTCAGTAAATACCTATAACACACTTACTATGTGCCAGGTAGTGTTCCGGGTGCTGAGTGTATGAAGGTGAATGAGACAAATTCTTGACATTGTATTTGTAAACCGGGAGTGAACTATATGATCTCCAAGGTCTCTTCCTGCTCTAAAATTCTGTCTCCCAGTTTGACCAGTTGCAAATAAATAAGGCAGACTAGTGGCAAAGCACCGTGCTCCAGCTTCCTTCACGTTCTCCTCTATTGGTGCCATCTCCACTCCAAACTCAGCTCTGGGAAGCAAGAAAAGGTCGGGTATCTTTGTACTCTGCCTGCAACTTGAGATTTAACTCTCCAAAGGATCTGCTAGTTAAGCTTTTCCCTTTTTGTGGAAAGGCTTTGTCTTGGTTGGACCAAGGAGACCTGGCAAGATGTGTTAGGTAAAGTTAGGTGCTTTGGCAAAAGCACAGGGAGAGGCAGAGCGGCCTTACCCTCCACGTGCAGTATCTTTTAAGTTTGCCTGAAAGGGCACCAGGTTATTGGACAGGTTCCCCACTTTTCTCTGGATGTTCGGCATCCCCTGATCCTGTCTCCTTTATTCTACCTCTGCCTTGGCCTTAGGTCCACAGTTTCTACCACTTCAGTATCTGGTGTTTCAATCAGGAAGAAGGGATTCAAGGACTCTCAACCATGTGGAGGAAGGAAAGCCATCGGCTGCAAGTAACTGGACAAAGCAGAGGTCCTTGGGTCAGGAACACGACTTAGAGTTCAGACCACTGTCATTCCAGGTGAGCTGTCAGGCATGGGATGGCACTATTAAGTAACACACTTATGTGTGTCAGTGAAAAAGAAGGACTTTAATACTGATCCTGGATAATTATGAAGTCAAAAAGTAAAATTTTTGTCTATGTAAAAAGTCTATTTATGTCTCATTACTATGAGATAAATTACATGTCATTGTATATCAGATTGACATGAATAATTCTTTATTAACAGCAAATATTGCCTTCAAATTTCCTAGTATGTGATGAACTAGAAGGTATGGAGAAAAAGATTTGAAAGACCCCCCTTGCTTAACTATAATCTTGGTACCTTACCGTCTCTGTGCCTGTTTCCTCAACTGTAAAATGATGACTGCCTCACTTCTCTCACAGGGTTGATGTGAATCCACACTACATATGTGAGTGAAAATGCTTTGGAAACTGCAACGTGCCTTATGCACAGAGGTACCCTGTTACCATCCACGTTCTTAGGACGCTGTCTGTGCAGTCCTGGCCATAGCTGCCGTCTGTCCTCTTGCCTTCCCCCTTGCTCACTTGCTGGTAGGTGTCCCTCAAGGACATAACTACATTTTCACCCACTAAATCTTAGAAGGTTATGCAGGCACAAACATAAGCTAATTCCTATCAGTTTTTAAGGAAGAGGCTGTTCCTTCATTGTGCTTGAGACCCCTTATCACCAAGTACTGGGACAAAGGCTTCTTTCCTCCTGGTAGCTAGTTCATTTGGCCATAAAAAAAGTGTTAGGCTTTTTCTTTGTATAAGGCAGTGGGATGGGCTCAGTGGGATGCAGCACCGCGCATCAAAAATAATCTCAGCTTCGGAGTCTGGCAGACTCTGAGTTCAAATCCGGCCTTGGCCATCTACTTAGCTATGCAGCCTTGGCAACTAATGCTCCCTCTGAGCTTCAAGTTCCTCTTCTGTATCAGGGGATATTTCATATCTTGCAGTGTCACTGAAAGGATTATAATTATGCCTGTGAGTGACTGGCACATAATGAGTGTAGAGATGACAGATGAGCAGCAAGGTCTGTCTCTAGGGCCAAAGCATGGTAATTGGAGTTGTGGATGATGAAACATAATAACCAGCTGAAAGGTGCAGAGAGGGAGGGGCCACTTAAAAGCACAGCGAGGGTCTCTTTCCTGGCAGCACTCAAGTAGAAGCTGAATGATCACCGTGAAAGGTGCTTCAGAAAGCATCTCTCTCTGTTCAACCCTAGAATCTCTTTAATTTCTAAGGTCAGAAAAAGAAATGTCCCAATTTTTTTTTTTTAATCCTCACCATAGGATATTTTTCTCACTGAGTTTTAGAGAGTGGAAGGGAGAGGGAGAGAAAGAGAGAGAAACATTGATGTGAAAGAGACACCAAACACTCCATGACTGGGGCCAGGGTACAAGGTACATGCCCTTGACTGGAATTGAACCCAGGACCTTTCAGTCTGCAGGGCAATGCTCTATCCACTGAGCCAACCCAGCCAGGGTGGAAATGTTCAATTTAAAGAGAAAAATTTTGTAAGTTCAAATACCAAAGGGTAAAGATGAGCTAATACAGTGTCTGTGTTGTACAATTATACAAATGAAACCAATGAGAGAAAATTAGTGATTGCTTCTAAACTGTCACTGAAACCATGATTTAAAGGCTTACTGTAGTCTATGTATTTTTATTTTTTTTCTTTGGTAATAATTCACATGATTGATGCTAAAAAGTACATTAGGAAACTCAGTGGTTTTCCAATATGGAGTTTGTTTGGGTTGAGAAATTAATATGGAAACAGATGAGCTTTTGAGGCTAGTAATTTTTGTGCTCTGATGTGCTTTAGAGACAAGAATAGTGGGCTGAATTATCAATCAACTGGAATCTATTCCAGTTCCAAGATTTTCTTCTGCCTGGGCTCTGGATCACGAGCAGGTCTTTACCTTCTCTGTGCTCAGATTCCTTAGTGACTCAATGAGGTCACCACCTCCCTGTCAGGTAGTACATGTTAAACATTTTGAGATTAGGGCCAATTGCTACTGGGATTATATTTATTCATAATTAAGCCACTCTCAGCAGGTCAGGTACAAGTTATTAATGAGGAGAAAGGCAAATGTTTCTGAGGCAAAATTTGCATAAAATCTAATAAAACTATTCTCTCTCTTTTTTTTTTAATGGTGGTGGTGGTGGTGAAAACTATTCTCTTAATTGTGCAGTGTCGACCTGGGCTTTTGTGAGGGAGAACAAAGGGTACCGTTTAGCTTTCCAGGTTTTTCCCTATCATAATATAAAAACCTACTTAGATGCTGGTAAGATAAATTCATATATTTTTTAAAGACAAATATTCCCATTTGCTTAGGATAAATGGTTTTCAGATTCCTGTCTTATAAAAAATAATCTGACCTCTGCCCCCTGTCCACAATCTCTGAGACTTTGAAAGGATAAAGAAACCAATTTGGAGCTCGTTCAAAGGATTTATTTGCCACAGAACTGCTTGAGCCCATCAACAAGAGGAACTCAGGATTTCTGTGTTTAAAGGATATTGCTCACTGCTTTATTCTTACAAGTGCTTGAACATTCAAAAAACAATTCTTTTGCCAGCATTTGGCATGTCTAAAAGAGGTGAGAAAAAGTTAGAATCTATAGAATTAGATGTCTAAAAATAGAAAAAAACCCTAAACATTTAAATATGCCTCATTTAGACAGGTCCTGAGTAGAAATCATATTCATCAGCAAAACAGAACGTTTTACGTCAGAAGTGCTGAATTTTATAACTCCAGATCCTGACTTGGACTTGACTGGTGAGGATTCCACCCACTGCACAAGTGTCAGGAGAGAAGCCATTCCGTTGGCTAATTCTGGCCTGTGACCTACCCGGCTTGCCAAGTTTTATAACTCTCTTAAACCCAAACCTCCTGGTTCTCTGATGCCGACTGTCTTAACCTAATTCTCAAAGCTTTTAAAAATAAATAAACACAAATTTTCCCTGCAAGATCACACATTTAAATACTGTTGCTTGTGGATAGATACAGAGAAACTAAGTACTGATGAGAATGAACAATTCAGCAATGGAGCTGTGAAGCTCTGGCTGGCTATGTAAGGTGTAGGAAAAGTCCCCCGCTGGCTCTGCACTTGCTGTGCACACCAGGGGTGCCCATCCAGGCAAGGTCAACACGAAGAGGGTGTGAACCCCAGCAGCTGCTCGATGGGTTTAAACCGCCACTCATCTGCCTCCAGCTCTTCTACCAAACCAGCTAGTTTTTCCATCCGAGCAACTTGCTGATCTGTAAAGAGTTAAGGAGGTTATATATAATACAATGTATTTCCCATTAGAGTCACCAATCACCAACATGATGACTGGTTTAAAAGTAATTTCTACAAGGAGTTTCCCCCTTAATATTCTAGTAATGGGGTCTTATTCTATGTTGGTCAGAAGACTTAATCTTAAAAAAACTAATAAACACCTTATCCTGCATGCCATAGTGACGTGTACTAAAAGCCTAGGGTTACAGGCAATTGCAGCTTTCCCCCAACATTATGCCTTCAATGGTGCAATGGTCTGGTCGGGGAACATAGTTCCCTGATGCATAAATGAAGGCCTGGTGAGGCATGATGGGACAGAAAAGGTGCTACCAGGATCTTAGAGTCCAGGTAGACCATGAGGTATTACATAAATACTTGAAAATGAAGATGATGGTAAACCAGGGGAGGATTACAGTAAACAAAGTTTTCAGAAAGGGGAGGAAAAAGCAACATAAAAGTAGGAAGCATTAACTCCCCTAGAAAACTAACCCTTTTGACTTCAACTTTAAGCTTTAATGAGGACATTATGTCTGGATGAAGGCTGCAGAATGTTTTTGTTGCAGGTAATTTAGAAAGTCCACTCAAACAGCCTTGCTGAATTTCAAGAGTTTGTCACAAAGTACACCAACCTTTATGAATCTCACCCTCATCCTGGAAATTTATTCTCATAGTTAAGTACACAACACTCATGTGCTTACCATGTTTTACCTGCTTCAGTGTAGAAGCCACCTGATAGCTGAAAACAGATTCACAGAGAAATCTCTCAGAGCCATCTACAAACGAGAGAAAAAGTTTTAATCTGCTTTAAGGGTTTTACGGCTCCTGTAAACCAAGTAAACATGTCCCTTTTCCCTGCTTTTACATTCAGGGTCTACTTTTCAGTGTTTACAAAGAGGGTTTCTGTTTCATTTAGAACTAACATTGCTCAGTTATAAAAGCTATTTCTATACCTAGAATATTAAAATAGTTCCTTTACTTGTTTAAGAATTTAAAAATAGTGTTTATAAAAACAAAAAACAAGAAACCTTAGTCTGACGTCCTGGTCAGCATTTCTCCCCTCCCAACCCAATAATTTCCTAATGTTCTCCTGTTCTGTATGTCAGGCAAACACTGACAGCTGACACATTTGGCCATGTGACCACTGTGCTATCAAAATACAAAGGTACACCAAAACGTGAACTAATTTTCATTCTAAAAAGTCAAGCTGAGGGAAAAGTAGCTGTTGTTGTTTTTCAGTATATCAAATTACATCACTATGACCATGACAAAACACTGCTGGGAAATTTCATTCTGTCAACGCAAATTGTAACCTTGATTTTCCCAATGAACCAAAACATTGCAATTTGGATGGCGATAAGAGTACAGTGCAATTTTAGAGCCTAGTGCTGTACTGGTGCCAAGCACTGGCAACAAGAAGGTAGCTAACTCTGTCACCACAGCATTTGGAAGATGATTGTGAAATACAACTTAGTTCATGTTATTCCTTGTCAGGCAGGGGCTGATAGAGCAAAACATACCCCAAAGGACACAGAGCTCATGTAGGAAAATGTGACATTACAAGGGTAGCTCAAATCCTTTGGGGAAGGTAATTTATTGCAAAAATCCTAAAACAAATGGAGGCAGAGGACACAGTTGTCTTTTTTTAGGTGGTAGTTCATGTCAGCACTCCTTGGTGTCAAGCACTCAGCCATCAATCACGGGTTGGTGCGTCAGCCAGGTATTAAGTGATAAGGAGTTAGGACTAACACATTCTGGCTTCATGCTGACTTTTACACAAGGCAGACCTTATTTCAGAAGTCATGGTAAACAATAAAGAAACACCACGGATATTGTGTCCAGATGGCTTGAATATACAACCAAGAGGGCTTCTTTTGTCCAATATTCAAAATTGATGCAAAAAAGGAAAATATAATTATTTTCATAAAGTGATGTGCAGTTTAGGGAGAGTGCTACATTCTTTAAATTCGATCTCTTTTCTACATATTGTGCTATATGATCTGATCTTCTCCTCCCACTCCCATGTCATCTATGAGCAGATCATCTACACTGAGCAAAAAAAAATTTTTTTCCAATTAATTGAATATTACACTGACTGTCCAGTTTAAAGATCTAGGTAAACTAAAGATATCATTGAGTTTTTCAGGTAATCGGGCAGCGAGTAGCTATAAATTCCACTATGGGAAGAGGGACTGTGTGAACATTTGACAACAATGATGCAATTTATTATGGCTCTTCTGTGTAAATATACCAGTGTTCATTATCTTATTCATACCCCTGCTTAAAGAGTCAAATTATAACTGAAGTTTCATTTTAGAATGAGCAAAGCATAGAGAATTAGAGCTCAATTCTCAGGTGGTTTGACCCTGAACTATATATTGAGCTTTAAGATCTCAAACAAGGCATTGGGGATTACGGGCTATAAGGATCAGGCCAAGATGTATTTGGAATGGAAACTCTTGGAAGTGGTACCTTCTACTTACATTTAATCACTGGTGCTAGCTATTAGGATAAAATGCTGCCCAGCGGGTGTGGCTCAGTGGTTGATGGTTGACCCAGGAACAGAGGTCATGGTTTGATTCCAGGTCAGGACACATGCCCAGGTTGTGGGCTCGATCCCCAGTAAGGGGTGTGCAAGAGACAGCAGATCGATGATGTTTTTCTCTCACTGATGTTTCTATCTCTCTCTCTCTCTCCCTTCCTCTCTCTCTAAAAATCAATAAAATGTTTAAATTATAACATTTGCATATTTCCCTTGGTAATCAACTTCAAAGCAAAAGGATGTAAGCTAACCTTTCAGAGAGGCACTCTGTAGGCTTTTGCCGTGATCACTTTGCCACTCTCTATGCCTATAGAATACACTTTTGCTGATGTGCAGCTCTGTATTAACCACAAAGTCCACTGCTCCTCAGCCACATCCTATTAAGTGTGATATCTGTACTAATCTAAAGCCTGGAATTTCTCCAGAGAGGAGTCAGCCTGCGGCAATCTGTCTTCCATTTAGAAATTGTAATCAAACCCTTTGTAACACACCAAGTAACAATACATCAGCTTTTCTCTTAAGAGACAAGCAAAGGTTATAAGTAATGAAAAGTTCAGTAAATTGCCCAAATCTAACACCACTGCAACTCCAACAAACAGGATGCTAACAAATTCATTTAAAAGAATATTACCTCACAACAGGAAATTAGACAATGTCAGATAACTTATACCGCAGTGGCCTACAATGTCACTAAAATTCAGCCACTTCTGAGCAGGAGGGCTTACTAATAATTGGGTGAGGACAATTTGGTCAAGGGCAGGAGAATGCTGAAAACTGTATACAGCTTATGTGATACTGCTTATCAGGGGGCAAGTAGGCACACAAAAAAGTTAATTCACAAGGTTAACTACAGGTTAATTGGGTTTATTATCCTAGATGTAGGAGGATACACGATCAAACTGAACCTGTTAAGATTATAAACAGCATCCAACCTTTGTTTGAACAGGCAATTCTTTTTACTCTATTTTCATATTCAACTCTTCTTACTCTATTTTCATATTTAATTAAACTACTGTAAGAAAAATGGTTTGATACATGGTAATATTAATTGCATAACAGTATCACTGTAAGAATGGTAGAAGATAGCTTTCAAATCTAACGTCTTTATTAACTCACATTTAGGAGTATTCTTTTCAATTTAACATTCTTTTTTAAAAAAATATTTTTATTGATTTTAGAGAGAGAGGAAGAGGGAAAAATATAAAAAACAATGATAGAGAAACATTGATTATCTGCCTCCTGCATGCCCCCTACTGGGGATCAAGCTGGCAACCCTGGCATGTGCCCTGACAGAGAATCCAACCTGTCAGGCTCAATTTAACATTCTTGATTTGACCAGGACAGTTCAGGGATTGCCATCTCTAATTTTTCATATTCTGTCCTTAAGTGTAAGCAGCTTTAAAATATGGATGAAACTTTAAACTTAAGAATAAAAACTGTGTACTGTGAATTTAAACTTAATTCCTCCTACACTAGAAAGCCAACACATTCCTCCATAAAGCACACTGAGATGAATTAAAATGGATAGAGCTGTAACTTGTTAGAACATCAACATTCAGACTAATCTCAGAAGCCTTTCTTCTTTTAATGTTTCCAAGTAATCTGGTGTATACTAGCAAAGAATGCTTATAGCTTTGAGAATAAGGAGGGATCTCCAGTATTAAATTCCTCCCACAGCCAGAATTGAAATGACTTCAATCTTTAATCTGCTGTTAAACATTGATTCCTCATCTGTTGCTATAAAACTCATTAAGCAATTTAGTTTTTTGTTGTTGTTCATTAAGCAATTTAAATGCTTTCAACTTTTGATTTGTTTCGTGGGAAAGTTGCTTAATACCAGGTCTATGCTATGTATAATCGAAGTCATAATATACTTTCAGTGTCAAATATGGTAAGGTCCCAATTACTACCTCCAGACTCAGTGACACTAACTTGAATATTTTGTTAACAAAACTGAAGAAAATGAAAAGGCAAAGACACAAGTACAGACACTTCAGATGTATCACTATGTTACCCTACCATCTACTTCAATAATCATGATTTGAATTAATTCTAGAAAGCCTTATGGTCCCAGTCTTTCCATATTTTCCTGCCAAAATGATTCTTCTATTTGCCCTGGCTTAATCCAAAACTTTTTATGATACCTGATATAAATGAATAAAGATCACCCCTGGAAGCGAACTGCTATCTACAGTTTGTAACTTTCTCAGAGACATTTTCAGATTAAATATATTTACTGAAATGTGCAGTATTTAAAACAAAAAGATCAATAAATAATTAAGCACAAAAGTGCTAGAATCAAGTAGATTTTGAATTCTTGATAGGTTCTTTGTTGACTTTTTTCCAAATTATGATAAATAGTATAATAGTTAAGGATCATTTTCATGAGACTCCCCTGGGTGTTAGTCAAAATAAAGATTCCTGTGCTGCACCCTAGACTAATTCAGAATCGCTAAGGGTGGGCCAGAAATGGGGTCTTAAATAAGCTCTTCAGGTCATTTTTATGCTCTCCATTTAGAATTTATTGGTGTAAAAAAAAAAAAAAAGAATTTATTGGTGTAGCTCCTAAAGCGACATGAATCTGATGAATTCCAGGTACCAATGCCATTTCATGCTTCCAGCCTGTGCCCTGATCTTGCCCAGCCAGTTTGCAAATGTGTGCAGAATAAGATGGCAGACAGTATGATGCAAAAATCCAGCTCCAGTGCTAGAAAAACCACACAGCCCTGTCCTGCAGTGGGCCAGCACAGTCACATTCACCTATAACAGTAGTATATTACTTTTGATTTCCTCTCAGAACCTCTTTGATGGGGTTCATCTAACTTTAGATTAACGACATAAGACAAAATTTGTCAAGCCTACTAATCATAGGGAGACAAGCTAGTGCTAGGATAAAGCAAACTGGAGCAGGAGATCAAGAGAATTTCTGACCCTAACCTGTTTGGCTCAGTGGATAGAGCATCAGCCTGTGAACTGAAGGGTCCCAGGTTCAATTCCAGTCAAGGGCATGTACCTTGGTTGCGGGCACATCCCCAGTAGGGAGTGTGCAGGAGGCAGCTGATCAATGTTTCTCTCTCATCGATGTTTCTAGTTCTCTCTCCCTCTCCCTTCCTCTCTGTAAAAACTCAATAGAATATATTTTTTTAAAAAGAGAATTTCTGGTTCCAGTGCTTACTTTGTCTTTAACATGGGCAAATCACTTGAACTTTCCTGGGTCTAAATAACTCTAGATCAGTGGTCGCCAACCAGTGGTCCATGAGGTCCGAAAGGTTGGCAACCGCTGCTCTAGATGACTTCTATGAGTTCCAAAGTCTTTTTTTAGCTCCAAAGTTCTGATTTTGAGATTTGTGTTTTAAAGATATTATTTTTAAATGGGGACAAAAGATGAAATGTGGAGCTGAAATCAGGGCAAATTCTTCTAATCCACTGAATAGCATCTTTACAATTAACATTTATTGCAGGTCTGAATCCAATTATCAGCAAAAAGCAGCCTGAGCTCACCTTCTAACATCTCCCCAGCGCCTTTGGGGTAGGTGAAAAGGGCCTTCCGTGGTGGGGCAAGGTCTGAGACACTGAAACCAGATCCACTGACAGAACTTCCACTGACCCCACCGGCTGAGGAGGACGAAGAAGAGGCAGCCATTTCCTTCCTAGCAGAAGTCTCACTTCACTGCGGAGAAAGAAAACAGCAGTTGGCACATTTATGGGAGTGAGAGCGACATTTCATTCTAGCTGCCATAAAAGCCAGCACAAGTTTAGTAGAAAATTGGCTCCCCCTTTTTCTACCCTCTACTCCTACGATCTTTTATTGAGCCTCAGGCCAAAATGTCACTCAGGATTTTAAGTGAAGATATGTTTATTCTTAGTTTTTTTACTTAAAACACTATTTCCTACCATTAGTAAACTGTTTATGTCACTTGGGATTGACTGTGGGTGATTTATGGGTTAAAAAGGGTGGCAGGGCCAGGCCAAGGTAGTAATTTGACTGAAGAAATACATTATATGCGGATAAAACAACCATGCCTCATTGGACAGTTTGTCTTGGATACATCCTGACCAAGCCACAGCAAATATTCACTTACAAAATCTTCCAAATAAAATTCCAGAATAACACTGTGTTCTGGTCCCAAGGAAGGGGAATTGGTTAGGAAGTACATATTGGCCCTTTTATTAAGAAGTAAAAAGAAACCCTTTTCATCCAAGTGTAATATGCAAGTTGATCACTTGGTGGCGTCCCAAGACTAGAAAAAAATAGTTCAGGAAATGATTTCAGAATTCATGGCTTATTTAATAGGCCCTATTAGGAATAGAGCAGCTATTGAGTGTTTCATCTCTTGCCATATCAATAAAATAAAAAAGTCCAAATGTAAATGAGAAAATCTATACTGAATACACCTTACAAAATAAAACAAAAATACTTTTACCATAGAAACTTACACCATACATTTACAAAAGATTCTAAAAAGTGTGTTTTCTTAAAAAAAAAGTCTAGTATTGTGCTAACAGAACTTCTGCATCTATTAATGTTCTAATGTGCTACTTCTGCCTGTCCAACATGGCAGCGACTACCCTCATAGTGGTTATTAAACTAGTTGATTGAAAAACTGTATTTTAAATGTTATTTAATGCTAATTGAAATTTAAATAGCCACAGGGGGCTGGTGTTTACTGTACTGGAAAGTACAGCTCTAGTATTTAGACTAAAAAATGGCCGAAACGGGTTTGGCTCGGTGGATAGAGCGTCGGCCTGCGGACTGAAAGGTCCCGGGTTCAATTCCGGTCAACGGCATGTGCCTGGGTTGCGGGCACATCCCCGGTGGAAGATGTGCAGGAGGCAGCTGATTGATGTTTCTCTCTCATCGATGTTTCTAACTCTCTATCTCTCTCCCTTCCTCTCTGTAAAAAATGAATAAAGTATATTTAAAAAAATGACTTTAAACTGAACTGTATACTTGAAAATGGCTAATGGTTAATTTATGTACCGTGAATTTTGGTTCACATAACATAAAAAAAGATAAAAATGACTTTACATGGATTTTTAAAATAAATTCCCCTTTTTAATGGCCAGAGAGAATTTTTGCTAAGCTTTTATTTTGCTAGTTGCAAAAGGAATACATTTGTTATAAAAAGTTGAAATGTATTTTTTTAATGAATTTATTGAGGTGACATTGGTTAATAGAACCATATAGGTTTCAAGTGTACAACTCGATAACACATCACCTGCATGCTGCATGGTGTGCCCACCACTCAAAGTCAAGTCTTTTCCTACCACCATGTATGCCCCCTTTGCCCAGTTCTACCTCTGAAACTTATTTTTGAAAAAAAAAAAATTCTTTTTTTAATGAGGAAAAGCTATACAGATATAAACCCTATATATGCATAATCCAGTTTCCTAGCAAGGGAAATAATATACTGTGCATTTCTGAAAATCTGGCTGTTCTGTTTCCTTAATTTTGTGATTATGATTTAAGGTTGTGAGGGAAGCAGGCCTTAGTTTCTGATTTCATTACATGTCTATAAGTAATACTGATTAATACTGCAGTGGGATATGGGAACAGTAAGGCAACTGCTATAATTAGAATGTCAGCCCATTTAAAAATGCACTAAGGACATTTTCAACCTTGTATTAGTCACTTTTCCTTTTTTCCTCTGAGCTCTATAAACTTTCCAAATTGTATTCATATTCATAGAGGCAACACCTTTTGAAGTTAGATTCATATCCAATCCCTTGGACCACACTAGCTCAAAACATAGCGTGACATGTTTAAAAATTCTCTTTAGATTTCTGTTGGGATCTAAATAAAGTATACAGACAACTTAGCTATCTTTTGGAGAGTAGCTCAGTCTTATTTCCCATGAGTTCAGAATAGAACCCACTGTGAACTGTTTATGTATCTCACCTGAGACTTAAACTCCAATCTTTTCCCTATACCTTGACATAAGCTTTAACCAGTTGCAAATGTAAGGGATACTTTGTATTTTAAAACCCAGTTGGTCAGTAGAGCACTCAAGCTAACTGCCAGAATGCCGACAACTTCAAAAGCAAGACACAGTGTGACTTCTAAACTGCATATAATCAAAGAAATTCCCTTCATCCTATTTTCTCTCAAATTCAGAACAACTAGCATTCAATACACACAACCAGGGTTAAAAACTGGAGTGCAGAATTAGCACAAAGCTAACTTTAACATAAACAAGCAGTTTTCTGCTGAGGTGGAAAGATACACCTGAGTAAGTTCAAACTTTAACGATTTAAGTTAAATTTTGAATGGTATCAGGAGGTGGTAACAGAGTTAAAGTGAAACTAACAATAAACCCGAGTTTGAATGGCTCTGTTAAGGCAGGCATTATGATCACCAGAACCAAACGTAATGCCTGGTCTATACTAAGTAGCTGTTGGTTTAAATTAATGTTTACTACATGAACTAAACATTTCACAGGAATCATAAAGATTCCTTAAAGGTCATCTAATCCAACTCCCCCATGTTATTAATGATAAAACAAAACTGAGGTAGAGAGACTTTAGCTTATTTGCTGTGACATTTTTTAAGCAATGGCTTTGTTGGCATGTCATGTGTCATGTGAGAGGTGAAATAGCATAGTGGTTAAGAGCTCAGATCCTGGTCCTGGCGAGAGTGGCTCAGCTGGTTGGTGCTTTGTCCATACACCCAAGGGTTTTGGGTTCCATTCCCCATCAGGGTACATACCCCGGTTTTGGGTTCAAGCCCAAGTGCGGGAGGAAACCCATTGATCTTTCTCTTTCAGAGCTCAGATGCTGAAGCTTCCAGGCCTACGATTATGTCCTGGTTTTTGCTACTTATTGTATAACTCTGCCCTCCTCCCTTAACCTCGGTTCCTCAGTTGCCTCATCTTCTAAAATGGGAATAGTACCTACCTTAGAAGTGTTTGAAGGGTTAATATTAACTAAAGCAATTGGGACATTTCCGCCCCAGTAAACAATACTATGAGCTCTCCCAAATCACTAATTATTATTTACTCTTGAATCTTTTTTTTTTTTCTATGCAGATCTGCTTTTCATACATACTATGTCCCAATACACTCACAGGAAAAGTTCTAATTCTCTTCATTTGACACTGAGTCAGCAAGCTCCTAGAGGGGAAAGGATCTGCTCAGGAAAAGGAAAAATGCCCTCCATTAATGCACTTCACACTTTCATTTTAAGGTTCATGAACTTAGAAAGAATCCTGTGATCTAGAAAAGGAGGAAGGAGTTGTCTTTCTACCTTCAAGTCCTAGCACAAAGTTCTGGTCAAAATGGCCAAGTAGAAAATAATAATGAAAGTCGATTGTAATTGAAAAAAAAAAAAAAAAGACCTAGCACAGAACCTGGATCACGTTTCCTGCAGGAATGATGAATAAATGACAGAACACAGTGCTAGCAGCTCAGCAAAGGTTATGAAGGGGATAGAGGATTGGTTCATTACTGTTTTCTTTTCTTCTTCATTCTGCAGATCTATCTGCCACGAGGCTGCCACGCCCAAAGTAGGTGGCTCAGTAAGATTTTGTTGAATAAATATTGATGAAGTAACCTGGAGTTTGGCCCTATCAGTGAAGCTGGGACTACTGGCAATAAAGATCCTCATAGAAGAGCAATGCTATTTGGGGGGGGACACACAATGTCTGTGTCCACACTAAGATGATTCAATATTTTTTATATATATTTTTTATTGATTTTTTTTGCAGAGAGGAAGGGAGAGTGTTAGAAACATTGATGAGAGAGAAACATCGATCAGCTGCTTCCTGCACGCCCTCTACTGGGGATGTGCCCGCAACCAAGGTACATGCCCTTGACGGGAATCGAACCTGGGACCCCTGAGTCCGCAGGCCGATGCTCTGTCCACTGAGCCAAACCGGTCAGGGCAAGATGATTCAATATTTACTTCACATACGACAGGGATGACCTTGTATTCATAAACTATTTCCTTCCTAGCAGATTTATGCCTATTTTGTTAAAAAAAAATTCCTTCTTTTTGAAAAAGTCTTATTCAAAAGATAGACTCTTAAAGAAGGTATCGTGGTACAATGACAAATTATTATAAGCAATCAAATTCCATCAACAAATCGTTCCACTGTATCCATCCCACTTAAATAGCTGCGTTACCATTCAAACAGATGCTGCAGCGAAAACCAGGTGGGGTGGAGAGAGAAAGGGCTGAAGAGGGGAGGAGTCAGAACACCCGAGGTCCCAAACTCATTCCAGGCCACACTCCCCCCCAACCCCCGTTCGGCCCCCAAGGGGCCATCGCGCATGCGCCACCGCCAGGCGCGCATGCGTTCTCAGTCCGTCGCGGCCTGCGGGGACTTCCTTTTCCACGCCCTCTGCGGCAGGCTCCCGTTTCTCCCAGCTTCTCCTTTTCGCTAGTCCCTGCAGGTAGGATCCCGAGGATACACTCCCTTTCTGCAAAGCTCCGGAGCGTCCCTGAGCCCTTGGCCACTTACCTCAGCGGTCTTGGCACTTTCCCCTTCAGCCCCGCCCCCAGGCCTCCGCCGGAGCGGCCGCGCAGAGAACCACCGCGCACGGCGAGCTCGCGCCCGCGTAATGTGGGCGTGGCCTGGGCGGGCCGGCGCGGAGGACGCGCTTCCGGAGAGGACTTCCGGGCCCGTGGTCTCTGCCGCCTACCGCGGTTTACCTGCAGCAGCGGAGGCCTCCGCAGTTACCTTGACGTACTCGCCCTTTTTTTTGCTCGCGTTTGTGATGCAGGGCTTCAGCTTCGATGTCGCAGGCCTTGTGCCTTCCTCTCCCTCTGCAAGCCAACCTGAAGCCGGGCCAAACTGGGTTTCCCCCTTCCTCCCGAGCGGTTTCGGGGCCCTGGGAGGCAGATGACTGTGCTGTCGTAACCCCGACTCCCTTCTTCCAGAGCTCCTGGTCTGAGGCCCACCTGGGCAGGAGAGCCTTTGTGGAGAACCTTTTTTTTATTTTTAACAGAGGTCCTGGAGACATCAGGGTATTGCTAGTTATGCTCCCTCTTCTCCGCTCAAGTCTCCTTTTCTTCGTTGTTATTTCTCACAACACGAAATGTCTCCTTGGTTCTGTAAGCAAACTGTCAATTACAGTGACTTGCTGAGGGGGACTGAGTATTAGTGTCATTATTAAGGATTAATCTGTTTTCTTGGGAACTTTATTTTGGGCTTCAAGACTAACCAACCACCTTAGACTTACCAACTAAAAGCCTCTGTGGTAGGAACACTGGTTGGATTTAAACACAGCTGGCCCATCAGCAACCCTTCGTTTCCTGAATTATTGGTTCACTGAGTTGTGACTAGGACGTCGGCTTCTCAGTGAGTGGTGTGGTTTGCTGGGCAGTGGTCTGTGGGAATTGGATTCCTCCTCTCAGCAATGTGTCTCCCCGCCCCCCCCCTTTTTTATTGAATTTATGGAGGTGACACTGGTTAAAATTATACAGGTTTTAGTTGCACAGTTCCACAAAACGTCGCCCGTACACTGTATTGTGTGTTCACCACCCAAGTCAAGGGACAGTGTGTTGGTTTGAAGAATCATGTTGGTTAAGTCATATTTTAACTGTTTTCGTAGGCAACTGGGTCTGTTTGTTGGATGTGTATTTCAAGCACCTCTGAAAGTAGTCGGGGCCTTTACCCCCCTCTGAGGGATAGGTGTGTTAAATATCCCTGATTCTTTTTAAAATATATATATTTTATTGATTTTTTTACAGAGAGGAAAGGAGAGGGATAGATGAGAGAGAAACATCGATCAGCTGCCTCCTGCACACCCCTCACTGGGATGTACCTGCAACCAGCGTACATGCCCTTGACCGGAATCGAACCCGGGACCTCTCAGTCCGCAGGCCGGTGCTCTATCCACTGAGCCAAACGGGTTAGGGCAGCGGTTCTCAACCTGTGGGTCGCGACCCCTTTGGTGGTCGAACGACCCTTTCACAGGGGTCGCCTAAGACCATCCTGCATATCAGATATTTACATGACGATTCATAACAGTAGCAACATTATAGTTATGAAGTATCAACGAAAATAATTTTATGGTTGGGGGTCACCACATGAGGAACTGTATTTAAAAGGCCAGAAGGTTGAGAACCACTGGGTTAGGGCTCCCTGATTCTTTTAATTATCGTGCTTCATAGAAAGGGTGAAACACTTTGCAAATGGTTAAACACAGAAGGTTGCATTTTACTCCTTTTAGGTTAAAGTAATAAACAAACCTCTGTTGTTTTTCTTTCAAATCCGTGGACAGGCTGTATATACTGGGTTTAATATCTTTTAATTACCTTTTTTGGAGTGCTGAATAGTTTACAAATTACTGTCTCCAGTGAGCCAGGAATGATAGAATGTAGTGGAAAATGAAGCGACTGACTCACAACAGTTCACAAATAGGGAGGTCTAACGGAAACAGGGCTGCTGTGGCTCAGGAGGTGCTGTGAACGGATGCCCAGTTTCGTCCTTTCAGGGCTGAGTAATGATCCATATATAGGGTTTTTCTTTCTGATCGAAAGGTAAGGTGAGCATTTATTTTTTCCAGGACTTCACTGGAATATTGTTTGGGAACGTAGCATGGAAGTTCTGCGCCCACAGCTTATAAGAATTGGTGGACGGATTTATAGGAAGAATCCCATTCAAGAGCAGACTTACCAACATGAAGAAGAGGAGGAGGACTTCTATCAAGGTAACCCCAGTTGCTCTTTGGTCAGATTAGAAGTAAACTGTTCTCTGTATTGTAGAAGCAGTTCTTTGTTTTGTTTCAGTGTGCTGCTTTCTTGTACTGAAATTTGAGATGATTGGCTTCTCAGCGCTCCGTTTGTGTTGGTGTGTAAGGGGACTGATGTGTTTGAGTGTAATGAGGATTCTCAGTGGCAGTTCAAAATCTAGTTACATTTCATCTTTGTACAGAGGCTTAAATGTAAGAGGGGGCAATTTTGGTTAACTGTTAAGATTAGCCATTAGTATTCTGTAACAAAAGTAACTTCCTTTATCTATAAAGTTGTGAAGTAATATATATATGTATATATATATATATATATAGAGAGAGAGAAATTATTTAAATAAACAAATATATGTAAAGTATTTTATCCAGTGCCCATTAATGTTAGTTGTTATTATTGTTGTTATTTTTCTCTTCCTTGCAGACATATACAAGCAGTTCCAAATACACAACTTTATTATGATGTAGGGATAATTTAAGAAATAAATGAAACAGTCAAGATGGATTATAAATATTTTCAGGCTAATTAACGTGGGCTTGGGTTAAATGCATAAATTGGCAGGGCCTTTGAGGTCCTCTGCTTTATGTTTCTTTTGCTTTATAAGCTTTTTCATTGGGCCCTAAGTCTTGGAGGTTAGTCTCTTCCCTGATGCTCCCCATGATTTCCCTTCAGCCTTGGAGCCTTTGGGCTCCTTTATTTCACTTTGTCTCTGCTGTATGGAGTAAGTTCTCACAGTATCCCTCCAACTTTATTCATTAGAAGAATTTTATGTCTTAAAACTAAAAACAACTGAGTCGTACATTTTTAAGAGGATGAATTGATGTTATGTAAATTACGTCTCCCGTTTTCACCCTCTGGGGGAGTTCCGGTCACTTCATTCTAGTGGACCTGCCGCTGACCACTAGCCAGTCTTTGCCTCCACCCTTCCCCGCCCCCCCCCTCGGCTGTATTCAAGGCAGCCAAGCCGGGCTCTGGCTCCCGGGAGGCAGAACCTGCTGAGAGTTTGATTGAAGTTACAGCGAATCTGCAGGTGGATGAGTGTAGGGAGACTCCTGCCTCCTTGGGACCCACCTTCCGGTTCAGTCATGCGGTGCACTTCCTTCGTTACTCAGGGCCTCCCTTGGGCAGGTCAGAGCGTAAGGTCCTTAGGACTCGGGCACTGACGTTCACCGAGACGGGCTCCCGCTTTGCTGACGCCTTTCCTCTTGGATGGGCTTTGAGGGTGTGCAGGCCTCCCCAGGTGTTCCCCTCCCTCCTGCTCTGGAGGCAGCTCTTTGCTCCCTGGATGACTGGTCGAGGTCTCGGGTGAAGGCACGTGTCCCGAGCCTTTTCTCTGGGGAGACTTGCAAGTAGGGGTTCCCTCCCTGCCTGGTGCTTTCCTGGGAGAGCGGGGCTGACCCGCACACGTTTAACCTCCCAAGACCAGTGTCCTCGGGTCCCGGCGTCTTGGAGGGTTAAGGAGAGCCTGACGCGATGGAGCGAGTCCTCTCTCGCTGACCCGTCGTGTGTGTGTTTGTTTTGACAGAGAGGTGATTGAAAAGAAGCCAGAGAAGTTTAAAGTCCAGTGCTTGACAGACATCAGAAACCTGTTTTTTCCAAACACAGAACCGTTCTACGCTGCTTTTGGAAACCGGCCGGCTGTGAGTAGTGGACGGGGGTGTGGGCTCTGGGGGTCCTGCCGGCTGACAGCAGCCACGGGGGCGGCTGCCCGGAGTGGACGGTGGGAGGCCAGCTGCCTCCGCCCGAGGCGGGGAGACTCCCCTTGCTCACGGCCTCTGGCTTTCCCGCAGGCGGGCTGGTGCGTTTCCGTTTGAGGCATGAGATGTGGGACTAGACACATTAAGTTCGGAACCGCTTGCTGAATTGGTAAAACAGGAACACGGAGTAGGATTAGCCGCTTCCTCCCACACGGGGACCACGAAGCCAGCCCTCAACCCCGCGGGGAATCGGTTTCCAGAGCAGAGCAGCCCCCGCTTACCCGCGGCTTCGCTCTCCGTGGCTTCAGTAACTGTGATCAGCCGCAGTCGGAAAACGCTCCATGGAAACGTCCGGAAGTAGCTCACAAGTTTTTTTGTTTTTTAAAAAAAATATATTTTATTGATTTTCCACAGAGAGGAAGGGAGAGGGATAGAGATTTAGAAACATCGATGAGAGAGAAACATCGATCAGCTGCCTCCTGCACACCTCCTACTGGGGATGTGCCCGCAACCAACGTACAGGCCCTTGACTGGAATCGAACCCAGGACCTCTCAGTCCCCAGGCCGACGCTTTATCCACTGAGCCAAACCGGCCAGGGCAAGCTCACAAGTTTAACTCGCTCACCTTTCTGAGCGCGAGATGAATCTCCCGAGTCCATCCGCCCTGCCTGCCCGCCCGG